CGTCAGACCACGTATAAGTGCATTCTTCCATCTCAAGGTAATAGTTCGATTCTGGCTCTTTGTAAATTTGTTAAAAAAAAAAAAACAGTAAATTTTATATCTTAAATAATTAAATAAAAAAAAGGTTGAGTTTTCTTTTATTATTTAATAAATTTTATTTTATTATAATATGATAATTTAATACAATCTAAATAATAAAATAAAAATTTTAATTTATGATTACTATTTTTCTCCTATTGCTTCATCACTTATGGTGTCTTCACATTAATTTATATATATTTTGAAATTATTTTTTCTTAAATAATATCAAAAGTAAAGAACGTCCTGATCTAATAATCACCTTTCCTTCCTAAAGAATTTCTTAGGCTAAGTTTGACAACCATGAAATTTGAGTCTCACTCCCAATATTCAAAAAATAATCTTAAAAGTAGACCTCTAATAAGATGTGTTTAAAAAATTAAATTTATTTAAATACTCTATTTATTAAAAAAAAAATTCTTTCAATCCCTTAACTTACAAAACAAACCTTATTTATTCATTTTGAACAATTCAACACAGTTGAGACTACTCCAAACATTTCTATTAATAATATACTCAGCTGGCTTGATGAAAAGAAAGATTATTCTTTTCTTAAATAAGGTAATTCGTTACTATTAAGAGGATATGGCAAAGAAATAACGAATATTTATATTCCATACATTATTTATTTATTTTCTTTTGGTTAGGGATGAGTTAAGAAGGAATAAGTAAAATTAAAGAGCTCATTATTCATTCCTAATTTAGCAAACAAAGTTTCTTGGATTTTGTCTTATTCATTCCCTCAATCAAACATGAACAAGTTGTTATTTTATTACCTAATTCTACATAATTTTTCATCTTAGTCATGCTATAAATACATTTGCTGTTCAAAAAGAAACATCATGCTATATTGCCATACATTCTTCCAAACCAAACAAAATTATCAAAATACAGGTACTCCTCATCTAAATTTTGATGCTGATATCATTAAGTGGATGCATGATGAAATCTATATTTTAAGGGGGGCCAAAAATCACCAACAAATGTTGTATATGTTGGTGTGGTTTTCTCTTACTTGGTCACTTTTGTTAGGAAGAAGTGAAATTGTGTTTCAAAAAAAAGAAAAAAAAGTTCAGCAAGAAAAACTGTTTGAATTGGTGCAAAGGACTGGTGGGTTTGGAGGAATTGTCTTTCACAGATTGATGCATTAATTCTATTAGATGTTTGAAGTCTGGGTTGAG